GGTATACATCCACATGATATTGATTTTGCTACAACAGCAACACCTGATCAAGTTAAACGAATGTTAATAGATGCAAATATACGATTGATTAATTCAAATGGTGAAAAACATGGTACAATAACAGCTCGTATTGATGATAAAGAAAATTTTGAAGTAACAACATTACGAGTTGATGTTATTACCGATGGAAGACATGCTGTTGTAGAATATACACAAGATTGGCAATTAGATGCTAGTCGAAGAGATCTTACAATTAATGCTTTATTTCTTGGTTAGTTTTTTTTTATTAAATATTTTCTTTTCGATAAAATATTATTATTTAGATTTGGAAGGAACTGTTTATGATTATTTCGATGGAATTGATGATTTGAAATATTCTCGTATTCGTTTTGTGGGCGATCCAATTGAACGTATACGTGAAGATTATCTTCGTATTCTCAGATATTTTCGGTAAAATTTTCTTCAATTATTATCTAGTAAGAAAATGTGAGTTTTTTTTACATAATTGAAAAGATTTTTTGGTCGTCTTGCAAATGAGAATGCTTTACATGATAAAGAAACATTAGAAGCCATCAGACAAAATGCAAATGGATTACGACGTATGGAAGAAAAAAAACTTTTTAAATATAAAATAATAATCACCTTTTTTTTTCATTTAGATATTTCTGGTGAACGCCTATGGGTTGAATTAAAACGTATTGCTGAAGGACGTAATGCCGGTCCAGTATTAAAAATAATGCTTGAACAAGATATTGGGCAATATCTTGGTAAGATACTATGTTTTTATTATATTATCAATATATTTTAAATTTAAATACAGGTATTCCTTCAAATGCGGATTTAAACCAACTAGAAGATCATTGGAGAAAGTGTCATCGAGCTCATCCACATGCTCTTACTATACTAACAAAATTGTTTCGTAATATGGACGAAGTAAATAGTTTTCTTTTCTTTCCTTTATAAAACATGAGGTAAAAGTGTGGATAAATGAGTGTAGAAATTTAGCCTTTCATTCAGAGTTAATACATGTTTTAACAACTTCTTTTCATTTAGTTAGTCAAATTTGAACAACGTATGAAATATTCCAATGAATGTCGCCGTTTATCTCAATTATTAGTAGTATATCGTGATGAAATATTTCTTCTTAATTCATCATCCATTGATCCATTAAAACCATATAAAGATTTACTTGTTGATTTATATTTATTTGATCCAAATATAAAAGAAAAAATAATTGAATTACTTAAATATCAATATTATCTAAGTGAAATTCAACAATTAATCGAATGGACATTACCACATTTTCCAATATCAGCTGGAATGCTTGCATTAAAAGGTATTAAACAAGGAGGAAATTATAAAATAATACTTCATGAACTTCGACAAGCATGGAAACAATCAAATTTTAAAGCAACTGAACATCAATTACTTGAAGAAACATTACCAATAATATTAAAAAAATTGAAAACAATGGAAACTTTACCATCAAATCATGAGAAAACTATTGTTAATCCGCCAGCATTTGCATTACCGAAAAGACGTAAACATAAAGAATCCACGTCAGATAATTTGACTACAGTTACAAGTAGAAAATAAAAGAAAAAAATTGTTTTTTTTTTGTGTTTATTTTTTGTTAAAATAAAGTTATTCGTTTGAACACGAAATAATCAGCTAGTTATAATCAATTCTGAATCATGTAAACAAAAATAATAAAACACCCTCGTGAGGATGTGGGTGTTAGTGTTTAAGAAGAATAGTCCATACCTTTACATCTACACCTACACTCACTCTCATCCACTCACCTACACCCTCACCCTCAAGACCTATAGAGGATATTCTTGTATTTAATGTTAGAAATGTAAACATATCCGTGAAGACCTTTTATAAATATACACATTATGTATGTGTGTTATGTTGTTTTACTTGCCGACTATATTTATTGCATTTTTATTATTTATAGAGATGTTCACTATACGCGCGCGAGTAAATAAAAAAATTCAGTTATTACCTCTTGTATAAAAAAAATTATGCAGAAAAAAAATTATAATTTCTTTTTTACGATTTCAATACTGTCTTTCGTAGTTTTAATATGAGGATGATTTGGTGGTAATGCATTGTTGAGAATGTTCAAAGCATGTTCATAAAATGAAATTGCTTTTGAGTACTCTCCTATTTTATCATACATAGTACCAATGTTGTTGTAGGACATAGCCAACGAAGCATGATTTGCAGAAAGAGTTTTTTCATAGATTCCAAGTGCTTTTTCATAAAATAATAGTGCTTTCGAGTACTCTCCCATTTCTCTATGCGCCTCACCAATGTTGTTATAGGGTATCACCAAGTCAGGATGATTTGCGGGAAGAGTTTTTTCATAGATTCCAAGCGATTTTTCGTAAAATGAAAGTGCTTTTGAGTATTCTCTCATGCCATTATACGCACCACCAATGTTGTTGTAGGACAAAGCCAACGAAGGATGATTTGCAGGAAGAGCTTTTTCATAGATTCCAAGCGATTTTTCGAAAAATGAAAGTGCTTTTGAGTATTCTCCCATGTTATAATACATCAGACCAGTGTTGTTATAGGACATAGCCAAGTCAGGATGATTTGCAGGAAGGTTTTTTTCATAGATTCCAAGAGATTTCTCGTGAAATGAACGTGCTTTTGAGTACTCTCCCATGTTAGCATACACACCACCAATGTTGTTGTAGGACAAAGCCAACGAAGGATGACTTGCAGGAAGAGTTTTTTCATAGATTCCAAGTGCTTTTTCGAAAAATGAAAGTGCTGTCAAGTAGTCTCCTATCTTATAATACATCAAACCAATGTTGTTATAGGACAAAGCCAACGAAGGATGATTTGCAGGAAGAGTTTTTTCATAGATTCCAAGAGATTTCTCGTGAAATGAAAGTGCTGTCGAGTAGTCTCCCATGTCACTATACACACCACCAATGTTGTTATAGGACAGAGCTAAATCACGATGATTTGCAGGAAGAGTTTTTTCATAGATTTCAAGCGATTTTTCGTAAAATGAAAGTGCTTTTGAGTATTCTCCCATGTTGTAATACATTAAACCAATGTTGTTGTAAGAATTAGGTAACGAAGGATGATTTGCAAAAAGAGTTTTTTCATAGATTCCAAGTGCTTTTTCGAAAAATGAAAGTGCTTTCGAGTACTCTCCCATTTGTCTATGCGTCTCACCAATGTTGTTGTATGAAGTACCCAACGCAGGAAGAGGTTTTTCAAGGATTTCACGCGTTTTTTCGTAATACTCCATTGCCTGTTCATAATTACCTTGACAATGTTTGACATATCCAAGAGAGCTATAATAAAGCGCTTTACCACTCTCGCTCGATGACTGTTGAAGTAGTACTTTATATAGTTCTTCAGCCTTATTAAAATGACCTGTTTGGAGTAATAGTTTACCTAATCGATGCCATCCTGTGACACCCACAACCTCTTCGCTTATACATTTAGTTAGTTGTCGAAGTTGTTCATCATCGTCAGTAGTCAGTTGAAGTTCAACTTCATAAAGTGGATCATTGTTGTCTAATTGTTTGATTGCACCAACTCGGAACACGGTATGCATGCTGAACAGAATTTCTTTTTCTGTCTTATAATAACTAACCTTCTTAATAGAAGCGAATGGTGTTGATGAGACACGAGGATCAATAGTCATTATAAAAAGTATTCCCACCATATCTGTATTTCTCAAGGCACCCTTGGCGAACCGGAAGGAAATATCTCGTTTCGTACTTGTGGATAAAAAATTGTTAAAAGACATGAGACTACCTGTTGTTTTTTTGAGTTTGTCGAAATCATGTGTCAACAAACCTTGTCCTCGGTAAACTAGAAAAGGCTTACCATGATAATCTGGGAGTTGTTGTTCATGCAGTTGATGAATTTGTTGGTGAAGATCGCGAATAAAAAATCCCATATTAATAATTGTATCGGCATCTAATGTTCGAAGTGCTCGATTGAGCATTTGATACGTAAAACACTCACGTGTATACCACCAGATTGCTTGTTCTCGACGATAATCACGTTTGAATTCATCAATAATATTTAATTCTGTCATGTTGTCAGAATAAAATTGGCAACAATGCACAGCTAAGATCTTGATAGCTTGTTCATGATCATGTTCCATTTCAAGGAGAATATCCTTGAATATTTGTGTGTACATATAATTTGGTTCCAGTTGATTCAAATTTTCACTGGACACCGCCTCAGTCGTTGTAACAAAACTTATAGGAATTGAATCCTGATTGACTTGTTTTATATCTCCCTTTAAAGCGTCACAGATGTCCTTGATATCGTTATGAACACCCTTGATCTTTTTCCAATTCTTGATCCATTGTTTGTGATAGGATACTTTGTCACAAAATATGTAAATGGCATCTAATGTTGACATGCCATGGATTTCATGAACTAAATGTTGACCAAGTGATCCCGACGTTATAACAAAAGCTTGTTCATCATTCGTTTGGTCGAGAAATTGAATACATGCATCTGATTGATTAAACATGATGACGTCGTTGACAACAGTTCGGAGCTGCGTCAACGTATTTTGACAGTCCTTGTTGGTTAAATCGATATTGGCATCAGCCCAAACCAACAGGTAATTTTGAGCTATGCGCTGACGTGTTGATGGTACTGTTGTTGTGATAGTGATGTTGGTCGTTCCTGAACTTGTTTTGGAAGAAACGTTTTTTTTCGATTGTTGGGCACCCATATGGATGTGATTCGCAAATTGTTCGTAAATCTGAACTTATAAATAACTGTTATTAATTGCATGAATACAGAGAATAACAATGGTTTATATAGGCAATGATTTGTTTTCCTTAGATTTTCTATGGCCCAAATGTTGAGAGCGTGGATGTATAAGACATAATTAACATTATCGATCCCACCCTCACTCTAATCCCCTTTACTCTACAAACTCTATAAACTTGATGGTATGAGTGCGGTATAGGTGCAGATTTCGATAAGAGTATGATGCCTATATCTGACTCACGTTCACCCACATGTGTCATTTTTGAATACTGTTTGAGAATATTTTGACAAGAGATGGGTTCATTAGTTGTCATCGATGACAACTCTTCGTTGTTCTTTTTCTCTTACTTGCTACACTGTAAACAGAAAAATAATTTATGGAGAATAAAAAATGGTATCCTACGAGTGTCCATATCTATTTATGAATGAAATTCTACTTTTCTCGAAAATCAATCATTTTCTGTGTGTTTAAAATTTTACAAACGAATAATATTAGTTTGATAACGCTTGAGCTTATTTAAAATCGATTTTCTATAAACTAGAACTTCAGTGTAGGATGTGGATGTAGTTTAACAGTAAATACTTCATTCATTTCTCACGCATAATCATCCGTACACTCTATTTCAAAAAGTAAAAACTACTTTGTATTTTATTTATTTTTCTCAAATAAACCAGAATAATTGCTCTTAGGAAATGTTCATATTGCTTCTGAACAGTTTCTAGTACACTAACAACTATAACTCGATCGACGACGAATGTGAACTATTAATCTAGTTTATAGCAAGGAAGAGAGAAAAGAAAATAAACAACTGCACCTATTTTAGATAAAAGCGCTAGATACTGACTATACAACAGAAATAAAAATTTCGCCATAAAAAACGAAGTATCATGAATATAGAAAGCTTATCTTGTCTATTTCTCCTGTTTATCAAATTAAACTTTTGTAACATTACATACATACTCGTATTACTAGTTGTTTTTGATTATGTTGAATTTAAATGCTTGTTGAGAGTTTATCAAATCGTCGAAAGTAATATATCTATGTGTCGCTGCTGGTTTGTCGTTTTCCTTCTAGTTACTGTATTTCTTCCGAAATAACTCGATCATGGATACTAGGCTTCCTTTTATGCGTAATATGTGTGAATAATTTCGTCACTGGGTTTTTTCCTTCAAAGGTAAACGATAACTACCCATTGTCACTTGTTTTGATTGACAGCTCATTATCGGTAATATATCGAATCATTCAGGCATGGAAAGTTGGAAAAAACCAACAAAACTATAGGAAGTAATCAGTGCGTCTTGACGAGAACGTAGTAGACATTGAAACAAACATCAACAAGGAAAAGTTTATAATAAAAATGAGAAAATTATTTTATTTTGGTGAACACTCGATTTAAATATTTATTGGGAAAAATCGACTATTAAATTCATGTCATGAAGAATAAACAGATTGTTAATCTATTCAACTCTTGAATCTCTCAAATTACCTAGCCGCATCATTAGTAAATGATGAATATATGATATATTCTTTTAACATAAAAACTCGATAAATTGATCAGGAAAGTCAAGAATAAGAATATAACTGTTTTTTATACCTATTTCTAATCATAGGAAAATAAAGAGATAGCTGCTGTAAATAACATATTTATTTAATTATTTGAGGGCGTGGGTGTTGTGTCTCTTGGTTTAGCTCAGACTCTCGCACCCACACCCTGTATGTATAAGATTCTTTCTCATATTCACATCCTCAAGATGAACAAAAAGAATGATTTTTATGATCAGTATTTGTATAGCAAAAAATTTTCTCTGTCTATAGATTTTAAGTATTAACACATACAGTTATATTAAAAGAAAAGAGGATGTGAGTGAACACATTGATAGGACTCACACACCCTAACTACTAAAATAAATTTAGATCATCCAGTTACAACTTCTAAATACATATTAAATAAAGTATTCTTATATATTTATTTAAGATTCTCTCGATAAATTCTATGTTTATCACATAAAAAGTCGATGATTTGAAATTCAATTTCTTTCTGTTCTATATTTCCTTCGGATCGATTAATTGTTGTCCATTGTTTTTCCATACGTTCATATATTTGTACTTGATTTGTACGTGTTTGTAACATATTTCCAACAATTATATCTTGATTATATTTTTCAGCTGATTGTAAACATTTTTCTTCAAGTATCTTCTCATCAGTTTCTAATTTAAATGAAACAACAAAAGCTTCAGGTGCATATTTTCCTTTAACAAAACCTAACAATTTTGGTACAGGTTTCAAATGAATAATTAATTCATTTTGCCCAGATGGAATCTTATGTTCTGTTAATTCATTATTAGGTATATAATAATCCGAAACAGCAGCACATAAATAAACTAATACTGCTCGATTAAATATTTTTAATAAACCACAAAGTTGTTCAAGACCAGTAAGATAATCAGAAACAGTTTGAAAAGGTATTAAAAGAAGAGAATCTTTATGTTTATGATATTGATCATGATTATAAGTTTGATTTGTTTGTGATTCATCAAATATTGTTTTTATATGACGTTGATATGGTAGAATCGATGAAATACGATGAAAGAAAAGTACAATATAATTTCGTTCAAGAAAATATTCAGCAGAAGCAGCACCACGTTGACCAGTACTAAAATTATCAATAAAACGAACTGTATTTTTTTCTAATGGTACTGTTGTTCCACCAGATGTTACTAATACAATCGAACGATCAGTCTAAAATATCTGAGATAATAAATATTTCAATAATATATTAATAAATATATTAACTGTTTGATGTTTATTAAGAAATGATTGAACACGTTCAATATCAATACTAATCGAAGCCATATTAATTGAATTTAAATCTAAAAAATCTTCATTTTTTACATCCACAAGTCCAACTGTATCCACAATTTTTAGATCTAATAAACTTTACAAGTAACATCTCGATGTAAGACATTCAAGTCTAACTCTGATTTATTTGGTATATTTTTAAAGAAAGAAAAAAACAAACGGATGATACCATTCAAATATGATATACAAAAAAAAAAGAAAACTAGAATACATGAAAACAAAAACAAATGTTATACAATAGTCGCTAAAACAACATCAAAAAAATACTTTTGTTCTCTATTATTTCATTATCATATAGCTGTACATGATTATCTATTTATATATATATATGCATATTCATTGTAAGCACTTATATAGCACCTTAAAATCCCTGAGATTAAAATGAAATTGAAAAAAAAAGACAAAAATTAAGAGATTCATTATAATTAAATATCAGTTTCTAATGGCGGTGGATTTTCATGTCGTGTACTACTTCGACTACTTGTTTGTGAATGTGAATCTATCTGAGTACCAATTGCATATGATTTTTTATTATTATTTGGTGTAAGTAAATGAAGTTGATCTGAACGATGACGACGTGGCTGATGTGCTGGAGAAACATAAGCTGGAGGTGGAGATATTGAACCTGTTGATACACTTGCTGTAGAATCTTGTTGATGAAGATTACGTAATGAACGTCGATGTGTAATTGGTGGTGCTGATGGAGCTATGACTGGTGTTTGTGTACGTTCAAAACGTCGTCGACTTCGATATAATGTTGCTGAATCTGCTGTTGTTGTTGAATAAACACTCGATTGATCTGTGTGTGTATTAAGAACAAGTGCACGTTGTGAACCAGTATCATCACTTAACGCGGGGGTTGATGCTTTTGGTAGATTATGATTTAATTTTAATAATGAAAAATCATGATGAAGAGGTGATGATGTTGATAGATCATTATCAGAATTTATTGTGACACTACTTAATGGACGACTTGATAGAGATAAAGATGATAATGGTAATTTATTTGTTGTACCATTTGTTAATGTTGATAATGTTGAACTTTTAACTAATGTATTATCATTACTTTTATGTAATGATAATGTTGATTGTTTATTCATTTCTTGTTTAACACTACGACGAAGTGAATTTTGTCGTTGAAAATTATCTTTACGACGTTGACGAGATTTACAATACCAACAACAAATAAATAAAATTATTAAAATTATCATTAATAATATACAAGCAATAGCAAGAAGTAAATCACCACGAATAATTAATCGAACACCATCGAATTGTTGTTCTAAAAAATACAATATGTTTACTATATTAACTCTAGTCTAATAAAAATAAAGTACCTTTTTCACAAATAAATGCAGCTGTTGAACTACAACTAACATCCATTGTTTCCATATCATTAAATATTCGGCAAACTTCATTATTTTCTTTTCTTAACCAAATACCTGACGATGGTACAGCATCACTATTAATACCTTGATACTGTGATGTTCGTACTAATGAACGAAGAATAGCAAGACGATTTAATGGTGTATCACGTCGGGTTACTCGAGCATCAACACTTATACACGTTTCTTGTGCAATACGATACGTTGTAATAGCACCCAAATAAATATAGCATAATGTATCGTCTAGTGTCCAGCCCGGATCACATTTACCTTGTCGAAGTCGTGAAGAATCAAGATATGGTGGATAATAATTGACTTCGATTAAAGATTTATTATCATATTTGTCATAAATACGTGCACCGATATCATCAGCATCACCGATTCGTCCCCAAAAATTTGACGAAGCATTTACTGAACGAGATTCCATACGATTTGGTTCACTAAAGAATAATCAATGGTAAATATATTAATTGATTTTTTATTCTTTTTCTTACAAAAGACGTGATCTTGTTCGCATTTCATATCGACTATCCCAATTATCAAATGTATTAAAAGCATATATTTGCCGTGGATTACCCACTTCAATAACCGCACCCGTTCTTTAAAAAAACAAACTTAAATTTATAATAAAATATAGAAAAATTCGAAACAAACCGATCGAATAATTGTTGATTAAGATTCCCGACGGCACGATTATTTCGAAATGAATTCAT